TATTTTGACTGGGGTGAGATGATATCTCATAGTTGTTTTAATTTGCATCTCTCTTAGGGCTAGGGATTTTGAGCATTTCTTCATGTGCTTGTTAGCTATCTGAATTTCGTCTTTGGTGAAGTGCCTGTTCATATCCCGTGCCCATTTTTCTATTGGATTCTTTACCTTTATCTTGTTGTGGTGCTCAAGTATTTCATAAATTTTGGCTATAAGTCCCTTACCTGATATGTTATTACCGAATACTTTTTCCTAGTCAGTGGCCTCCCTATTTACCCTGTTGGAGAAGTTTTTGGATGTGCATAGGGATTTGAAGTAGTCTTTTTTAGTTGGTATTTTTTCCCCTATAATTCAGTATTAATGATCTCTCATATTTGAGATATTTTCTCTTTGCTATAAGGAGAAACAACTAATATCTATAGACTGAGATTTTATGACATTTTTGTTAAGTGTTACCTTTATGCTACTTGAATCTTAACTCTTGAAAATATAGATCAGACTTTCCTTCTCTGTGACTTCTCTCTGTGTTCTCTTTAATAGTTGATTCATTAATTAAGCTGTATGGTAGTGTCTGTGCTAGTGGCTAGTGACTGGGGTTTAACAGGCAGTTAAATGATTGTCCCTGCCCTCAAAAGAAAGACAGCTTTCTGAAGGATGCTGGTGTAAGGAGACACTCCTTATTCAGCTGATAGGGTTTTGGGAAGGTGAAGGGTGTTTGTCTTGTCGGGCAGTTAAGTGAGACAAAGCATAGTAGGCAAAGCTATTAGCAGAACAAAAGCTGAGAACTTTTGAGGGGATAGTATGTTTTAGGAATTACAAGTACTTATGCTTTGATTTGCACAGAGACAGGGCTGAGAAATAGGAGACTTTAGAGAGGAAGAGAACACTATGGAGAGCATGCCTTTCAGACCTGAGCTGTTTCTAGAGAACTGGAAGAAGGTCCTTTTTGGGGATTATAAGCTCTGAGTAAAGAGCCAAGCAGTGAATATATCTGTGGGGGGTGATGGTATATGCAAGGCGGGGATTAGAATTAAAGGAGTATATGTGGAGGCTAGGCTCAGAAGGGCTCTTAGGGCAGCTCATAGATGAGTTTGTGGTGGTGGTCCTGTCACAACCCTCTGGAATCATTCAGTATAAAGTACTGTGTGCGTGTGGTGTAGTGTAATGTATATTACACTATAATTGTCTTTTCCTGATGAGGAAGTTTTAATATCTTAATGATTCTGAGAGAGATCTGTGACCCTCAAATAATTAAAATGTGGTGGGTATGGAAGAGGTCTAGGAACTGAAGTCCTTGAAATTTAACCTTCTGAGGGTGAGAAAGGCAGGTAGCTGCAGGAAAGGTGAGTTAGGAGGAGCAAGGAAGAGCTCCTCGGTATGCAGGGCCCCAGGGTGTGGCCGTGGGACAGCAGGTGGTAAGGCCAAAAAGAGGTAGCTGGTTTCATGGGTGACTCCAGCAGGACTGAAGGCTGGAGAGGACAGAGAGTAGAAGGCGGCCGACTCCTTAATCGTTCTGAGGAGAGGGATTTCAAGTTCGTTTGCTTTAGTAGCAGCTAACTTCCATAGTATGGAATTAAAAAGTCCATTGATAACTAAATTTCTTGCAAAATTTAAAAAATAAAGTTATTTGAGGAACTCAGAATCAAAGTACTAAAAATACTTTTATAGGTCCAGTTCTTACAAGTGTTTTATATCTTCAAGATTATTGCTTGGCCTAGTTTTAAGATTTCTGTCAAAGACTTTGATAAATTTATTAATTACATTTTAAATGTAACTGTTGCAGAGAGAAAAATTCACAGGCTTCGAAAGTATTTATTACATCTGACCTTTGTGGACAAAAGTTCTTGTGCTTTTTAGTAGAGTCCCAGCTACAATTACGGTAAGTCTCTGTTTCCCATTGATTTCTCTGTGAATATGTGGACACTTTTGTTACAGTTTGTTTTTTTTCTTCTTCTAAAGTAACCTTACTGAGAATGAATATAAATAACATAAAATTAATCGAAATGTAGAATTCACTAATTTTTGGTGACTTATGTAATCCTCCTCATAATTCTGTGACAATGGCAATGACTGCCACTGTGAGTTGTCATGTGTTAGGGTTTGAAAGGATGGCCCAGGAGAGGATGAGGTGCCACTCTCGTGTGTGAGGAGTGTGAGGATGGCCCAGGAGAGGACGGGGTGCTACTCTCATGTGTCAGGGATTGACAGGATGGCCCAGAAGAAGACGGGGTGCTGCTCTCATGTGTGAGGAGTGCAGATAACCCCGAAGAAGATGGGGTGCTGCTCTCATGTGTGAGGATAGCCCAGGAGAGGACGGGGTGCTGCTCTCATGTGTCAGGGATTGACAGGATGGCCCAGAAGAAGATGGGGTTCTGCTCTCGTGTGTCAGGGATTGACAGGATGGCCCAGAAGAAGACTGGGTGCTGCTCTCATGTGTGAGGAGTGCAGATAACCCCAAAGAAGACGGGGTGCTGCTCTCGTGTGTGAGGATAGCCCAGGAGAGGACGAGGTGTTGCTCTCATGTGTCAGGGATTGACAGGATGGCCCAGAAGAAGATGGGGTGCTGCTCTTGTGTGTCAGGGATTGACAGGATGGCCCAGAAGAAGACAAGGTGCTGCTCTCGTGTGTGAGGAGTGCAGGTAGTCCAGGAGAGGACGGGGTGCTGCTCTCATGTGTCAGGGATTGACAGGATGGCCCGGAAGAAGACGGGGTGCTGCTCTCATGTGTGAGGAGTGCAGATGGCCCAGAAGAGAACAGGGTGCTGCTGTTGTGTGTCAGGGATTGACAGGGTGGGGTGCTATTCTCGTGTGTGATGATGGCCCAGGAGATGACGGCGTGCTGCTCTCAGTAGTGTGAGGATAACACAGGAGGGACAGGGTTCCAATCTACTGTTCAAGGGACCTGTGAGTCATACTTGACTAGATCTCACCTTTCAGAATATTTGTTACTTTTAAAAAATATATTTTGTGTCTATTTGCAGTCATTCTCTGTTGCCATTTTTAGCCCTTGGAAGTCAACCGCCTGTGCTCTTGTTCTGTGGAAAATGCCTGAAAAACTGCCTTTTTTCTGGACATTTCTTACAGATAGATTTTTGAATGTAGCTTCTTTTGCTTAACATAATGTTGAGAATTGACATGCTGTGACATACTTGAGTATTCAGTCTTTGCTCTTAAGTCTTTTGTCTAGCTACATCATAGTAGGTGGAAAGATGTTTGATTTATTTAACCATTGTGAATTATGCTATGAACATTTGAAAAAAAGATTATTTCAATATATGGTTTAATTTTTCTTGGATAGATACATAGGAGTAAAACTCTTGGGTTGATAGGTAATTTATATTTAAATTTAAAAAAAAACACTAAACTGAGTTCCAAATTGGCTGCTATGTCATTTTGTATTTTCACCAGCAGTATAAGCAGGCGCCCTGGTGATGTTCTGTTTAATGAATTGGACTATTAGCTGAATCATCATTTGAAAGCACTGGTTGTTTACAGGAGGAAGATGGATGGATGGGCTGCTGTGCTTGTAAAGATTCAGGCCTTGGAAACTTGATAGAGGGCTGCTATAAGTGGGGACCTCCTCAGGCCGTGAATGGCCCTTTAGTTTTCTTAGCAGTGTGTTAGGGCCAAAGTTCCTTTTCATCTTGAGTAATACTGAATATTGTTAGCTTCTTTGATTGTAGTTATTCCACTGGATGCGAAGGATTATTGCATTGTGATTCTGATTTGCTTTTTCCTAACAACTTACAGTGTTAAGCACTTTCACATGTGCTGATTAGCCATTTATTCTTAGATTAAAAGTCTCAATCAAGTTTTTTCCATTTTTCTCTCTTCATTTAGAAAATTGCAAAAAAGTACAGAGAGGTGCTGTGTACCTTGTGCTCTTCTATCCCTCTGAAGAGTAATATGTTACATTGTTATGGTATCATAGGATAGCATCAAAAGGGTGCTGTGTGGCCTAGAGGCAAGGTCGCTGCCAACCCAGAGGTACTCAGTTCAGATCCAGCTGCTGTGCCAGTTCAAAGATGGGCATTCTCCCCCTGTGCCTCCTAAAACCCACTGGAGGGTCACCAAGGAGTCAGTTCAGACTTGTCGGCCGATAACAACAGTATTAAAATTGAGAAACTAACGGGAGAACAATCCATAGACTTTTCTTTATATATCGTTAGTTGTATATGTACTATTTGTGTTTGTGTAATTCTGTGTGATTTTCTCAGGTGTACATTTGTGTGAAACCTCCCACAGTCAGGGTATAGCACTTTCCCAGTACCTCAGAGATCTCCTTCAGCCTGCCTAACTTCCACCTGACTGCCTGTCCATCACTAATTAATTTGCTCTCCATTTCTATAATTTGACATTTAAGCAAGCTATAAATGGAATCATTTAATATGCACCATTTTGAAATTGTAGTTTTACACTGAATATGATACCTTTGAGTTCCTTATGGAACATTACATATATCAGTAATTTATCTTTTATTTTACTATTTAGCTGTGTGAAGTTTCAAGAGAGTAATGATAAAGCCCAGCTCATCTTTGGCTCTGTTACCAATGTACATGCAAAGGATGCCGCACCAGTGCAGGTAAATGGGGAAGACACATTTCCTGAAAAGTTAAAAAGTATTATCTATCATCAGATTTCAGTATAAAAAGCCAATACTTATGGCCAGTGAAAAAATGATTTTTTTTTCCTCTCTCAGAAAGTAGATACCATGCTGGTCCTGGAAGGCAGTGGAAACCTGGTGCTCTACACAGGAGTAGTGCGGGTCAGTAACAAGTGATGTTTTTAGTATCACAGCGTCCTTAATTATGGTTACTGTTAATGTCATTTTGTTGCTGTTGTTGTTAGGTACCATTGAGTAGGAACCAACCCAAAGCTGACCTCCGGTGGGTTTTGAGAGACAATAAATCTCATGGAAACGGTTGGTGGATTCAAACTGCATACTCCTGTGGAACAGTTGATGGATTCAAACTGCATACCTTTGGGATGGCGACACAGTTTCTTACCACTAGGCAATCAGAGCTCCCTAATGTTACTGTAATTGCTATTTAAAATTTGTCACCCAATGGCTATAGATAGAATTTGGAAGAGGATTTTTTTAAAAGTTGAAGTTTGCAGTTGAGGTTGGTCCCACTTCACAGTGCTAGAGCACACTGCTGTTAGATCTGAACTTGACCCAGACAGGGAATTAGTGATAAAGAGATTGTTTTTTAAAAAATGCAGTTAATCCCTCAGAGATTTAGAGAATAAAGCTATCTATCAATATATGGGTTGCTTTGGCAAGTACCAAAGTTCTTGTAATTAAATTTTACTTTTAATGTGTAATGAATGAATATATGAACTCTAGTGATCTGCTAGTAAAAATTGATTGTGCTGCAATCCCAAAGGCACACAGTTTGCCTCTACAACCTTCTTCACGGGAGAAGGATGAGCATTCTCCTGTGTGATTACTGCCTCTAAAAACCTGCTGGAGTGTCAGCTGTTGGTTGGTTCTGACTTGATGGCATATGATAACAACAGCAACAACAACAATGAATATGTTGAGTCTTCTTAAGAAAAAAAAACATGCAACTTACCTGGTGGCCTAGTGGTAAGGAGCTGTGCTGCCAAACCAAAAACACAGAGTCTGAATCTATTAGCTGCTCTGTGGGAGAAAGATGAGCAGTCTCCTCGTGTGATTTACAGACTGTGAAAACCTGCTGGAGGATCATCTGTGAGTTGCTTCTGATTTCGTGACACACAACAACAATATATAGAATGATGTAAAATTTATTACTCTCCAGGTTAAGAAATAAAATTTAGGCATACTTTGGAGATTTTGTGGACTTGGTTCTAGATTACTGCAACAAAATGAATATTGTAGTAGCTAGGCACCTCTGGAGTTCTAATCCTCCAGCAACCCCTTGGGAGAACGATGAACAGTCTCCTTTTACTAGGACATGTAGCCTTGGAAACCCACTGAGGGGTCACTATGAGTCAGAATCGACTTGATGGCAGTGAATGGAGTGCCCATTAGTATGTTTACACATGTAAATTGTTTAGTGTTGCTAAGAGGTGCCTGATTCAGACCATGAATCACTTTTCAGTTACTTGCTGTGCATCTGAGAGCTGCACAATGACTAAGGATTACAGAAGAAAAATTAATGCTTTTGAACTATGGTGTTGAAGGAGAGGACTGAATATTCCAGGAACTGCCAGAAGAACAAACAGATATATCTTGGAGAAGGTGAAGTCAGAGTGCTTCTTGGAATCAAGGATGGCACTGCTTCGTCTTGCATACTTTAGGAATGTTGCTGGGAAAGGCTTTTTCTTGGAGAAGGCCATCATACTTGGAAAGGTAGAAGGACAGTAAAGTAGAGAAAGACGCTCACCCAGGTGACACAGTGACTGCAACAATGAGTTTGAGTATGACAGAGATAGTGAGATTAGCATAGGCTAGGACAGGGTTCAGATCTGTTGTTCATAGAGTTGCTCTAAGTTGTACTTGACTCGGTAAGTGCCTAAAACAAGAAGATTTTTTTCTATTTAGATTGTTGTGTCATTTATTAATTGAGTCACCTTTAGTTGTTTGTAAAATGTATGTATTTTCTTATTTTATTTTCTTGTTTTTACAACACAGGCTAGAATTTTCAGTCTTATGTTGAAAGGAGTAATAAGAGTAGATATCCTTCCTTTCTTCATTATCTTTGGGGAAAGAATTTAATCTTTGACTATTCACCTTTAAGAAGTGTATATGTTTGTTTTTTCTATTACAAGTTTGTTTCAAGTGTTTTATCGTGAATGTATATTGATTTTTTTTATCCTTCCAGTTTCTTTCATAATACCTATTTCATTTTTTTCCATAGCCTCTAGCTTTTGAGAAATTTCTCATTTTGTCATATTTCTCCTTATATTGTCAAATTATTAGTTACAGACTTGTCTTATTTTTCTATTATTTTTTCAATGTTTGCTTTTCATTTTCTTTAACAGTGTTGGCAGTTTACCAGTTATTTTCATTGGATCAGCTTTTGGCATCATTGATTTTTCAGTTTTCATTTGTATCAATTTCTAGTGTTTGTGCAATCTTCCTGTTGGCTTCTGTTAACTGTTTTTTTTCTCTCATTTACTTTCAGCTTTTTTGTAGTTTGTAGTATGTTGAATTAATTTGTATTATGTCCTAAGGATTTGAAGAATTCTAGTCTTTTTTTTTCTATAATTATATTTTATTAATTTTCATAAACATTTACAGAGATTTTGGGTTTCCATTCATTCACTGCTGCACCATTCTCTCTACCCTCTTCCCAGTTTGTTCTTGTCCAAATGCCACAGTGCTTGTCAAAGCCAGTTCTGATTAATCTTCTTTGTCAGTGTGTCCTTTGCCATTCCCTATCACTCCTCCCTGAGAGAGACTTCACCCTGAGTCATAAGGAAAAGGGGATGGCGTATTCTCTTAGCTACTTCCTGCTGAAAAGGGACGCTGTGGGTTTCAGGGTGAAGATCTTCTCTCACTACTCTAAAGGGCCCCTTTGGCAGTAGGAAACACATAGACTGTTATGGAGATTGATTTTGGAATTTAGATGCACTCTTATTGATTGTGCTTGGCCGTACATGTTCATATCCTTGAAGATTTATCATGGGGATGTTGCAACCTAGAAGACACAAATTTGACTAACAAGTTATAAGTACATGAGTCAAAAACTATGGAAAAGTAAAAGAAAAGATTCTTTCATTGTTCCACAACCCCCCCCAGGTCCCCTCCACCATGCAGCCCTCGCTCTAGACTCCTGTGATGACAGAAACACCCAGTTATATATCTCTTTTAGACAGTTCCCTCCCTCCTCCGCCTCAGTGCAGCACACATCATTGAACCCATCTTACTTAGTCTCTCCCCAACCCCAAGGACAGTCCCATTCTACAACAGTGCAGTGGCATCATGTAATATTTGTCCCTTTGTGACTGGGATATTTCACTCAGCATAATGTTCTCCAGAGTCAACCATTTTGAATAATATTGCATGAGTTCCTTGTTAGTCTTTTTTTTGGTATTTTATTTATTTATTTATTTTTTTTACAAGAATTCTAGTCTTTTTTAAAATGTTTTATTACAGAGGCCATCAGTCTATTATTCTAGTTCACAATAAATATGCTGGAATAAACTTTAAGAAATCCATGCTTACATGCTATGGTTATTTGATTTAAAAATGTTGCAAGGTGCTGTAAAATTGACTATAGCTCATAGCGACCCTATGAACAGTTAGATCAGACCCTACAATCTCCCACATACTCAAGCCCATTGTTACAGTTAGTATACCCATTTTGTTTAGTATCTTCCTCTTTCTCTCTGACTCTCCACCCGTGATGTCTTTTTCCAAGGACTGACAACATGTTTAAAATATGTGAGACCACAGACATTATATTGCCTTTGTCTCTAAGAAGCATCCTGTTTGCACATCCTATAAGACAAACTTGTTAGTTCTTTTGGCAATCCGTGGGATACTTAATACCTTTCTTCAGCACCACTGTTCAAAAGCATTGATTCTTTTCTTGTCATCTTGATTCATTGTGTTATATGCAGATACATAGGAAAAAATTGAAAAGAATGTGGCTTGGATCAAGTGAACTTTACAGCTGACGTCTTTGTTCTTTTAACACTTTGGATAGGTCCTTGACAGCAGATTTGCCCACTTCAACACATCTTTTGAATTCTTGACTTCTACTTTGAGTATTGATTGTAGAGCCAAGTAAAGTAAAATCCTTGACAACTTTGGTCTTTTCTCCATCTGTCTCCATTGATCAGGAAGTTGCCAGTTGGTCTATTGGTGAGGATTCTTGATTTTTTTTTATATTGAGATGCAATGCACATTGGAGGCTGTCCTCTTTGATCTTCTGCAGCAAGTGTTTCAAGTCCTCTTCACTTTCTGCATGCAAGATTATGTCATCTTCATAACGCAGGTTGAAGATAAGTCTTCCTTTGATCCTGATGCCACATTCTTTTTTTCATACAGTTCAGCTTTTTGAATGATTTATTTAACATATGGATTGAGTAAGTATATTTTTTAAGGACATAATACATTAAAATCACTATAAATATTTCCACTTATTTTTATTGCTCAAAGGTGGGAAAAATTTTTATTCCTGGACTGCCAACTCCTTCCTTGACACTGTCCAACCCGATGCCTCGGCCCAGTACTCCACTGGACAGCATTAGTACACCCAGGCCTCTTGTATCCTTGGATGAGGTAAGATACGGATTTGGTGTTATAAACAAATTCATACTGTGTTAAAGATATTTCATCAAATATTAGTTCTCTTTCTGTGATTGACTTTCCCTTCTATTTTAAAGACAATAAAATTAGAGGTCTGCCTGATATTTAGGGAGCTCTGGTGGCCTAGTGGCCAGAAGCTGCACTGCCATCCTGAAGGCATGCTGTTTGATGCCACAAGCTCCTCTGTGGGAGAAGGATGGTTGATCTCCCATGCGATTAACTGCCTCTGAAAACCTGCCAGAGGGTCAGCTATGGGTCAGTTCTGACTCTCTGGCATACACCACCAGTGCCTGTTATTTAGAAAATAACTTCAAACACAAATGATAAGTAAACATATTGACATCTTGTGATATGTGAAGCAGTGTTTGAAAATGCTACACAGAATTAAAATGCAGTATTCTCTTCTATATAGGATTCTCATAGTTTACCCGAATAGAATAGGGAGCTCTCGTGGCCTAGTGGTAAGAAACTTAGCTGCAATCCCAAAGGCAAATAGTTCAAATCCACCAGCTGCTATAAAAAGTTTAGACAGTTTCCTCCTGTGTGTTTTACTGTTTCTGAAAACTCATTGGAGGGTCAGCTATGATTCAGTTCTGACTTGAGAGTACCCAGTAACATCAGCACGAGTAAATAGAAAGTATTAGATTTAAGTACATACTGCTGGTAAGTGAAAGAGTCAGAGTGCTCTTAAAGAAATAAAGGTGACAAGAGCGCTTTAATTTTGAATGTAATTGCCAGAACAAACACTATAGAAGTAATGAGCATTAGGATCTATGTTTTAGGAAGACTTGACTTGAAACTAAAGACAAATTGGTCAAATAGAGTCCATGTGAGGTTGACTGTGTCCTTATGAAAGGGGCTAAGAAAATCAGAGAGAGCCCTGGTGTCCTCATGGTCAGCAGCTGCACTGCCAGTCCAAGTCAGGTGATCTGAAACCACCAACTGCTCCGCAAGAGAAAGATGAACCCTCTCTTCCCATGTGATTTACAGCCTCTGAAATCCTACTGGATGGTCAGCTGTGAGGTAATTTTTGACTTGACAGCCAGCAACAAACAAATGAGGTCTGAGCTAGAACACCATACTTTGAATTGAGAGGAGTAATATGGGAGGCCCTGAAGAGATGGAAATGACAGTTTATCAGCTGAATGGCTTTGAGCTGGCCTGGGAAGAGATGATGTAGAGTATGATTCAGACTTTTCTGTGTGGACTGGTGGGTACCATACTTAGCAAGTTATGGAGCCTAGAGAAGGAACAGTCTATGTTTAAGGGACACCAGAGTGCAGATTGAAATAGAGGTAACTGTTTGTAGTTGTATTAAAGAATACATAACAACAACAACAACCCCTGCTGCTGATGTACCCCTGCTACTGGAAGCCAGTGGAGACTGCCTCTTTGTCTCTACACACACCAGGAACAGCAGTATCAAAGTGGATTTGAGAGGAAATGGAAGACAGAAGTGATGGGAGGCCTGAGTCATCAAACCAGAGTCAAATGGAGTAGAAATGGGAGGCACTGGAGGGACAATGAGAGGGAATTGAGCGAGATGCTGGCAGGATGGGGTGAGGGTGGCAACACAACACATGTGCCGAAGGGGTGGGCCCCTAATTTTTTACCTGCATACTTTCATCTGCTCTTTTGGGTAAAATGTTTATCTGCCAAATATTTGCTCTAAAGCTGAGTATTGGCCACCCACTTCCAAAAATCTTATTGGACCATTGAAAATCTTATGAACAACAGAGCGCACTTAATTAGCTAGCACTCAGAGGGGGAAGGAATAGTTCCAAACAGACCCTAAAGGTTGGAATGTGGAATGTGAAAAGTTTGAATATAGGAAAATTGGAAATTGTTAAGGAAGAAATGAAACACATAAATATTGACATACTAGACACTGGTGAAATGAAAGGGATTGGCATGGGACATTTTGAATCAGACAATCATATGAGCTAGTCCAGAAATGGTGAGGAAAAAATGGGGTCACATTCATAGTTAAAAAGACCATTTCTAGGTCCATCTTGAAATACAGTGTTGTGAATGACAGGATAATATCCATAAATATATAAGGAAGACATGTTAATACCATTTGCATTCAAATTTATGCACCAACAACTAGAGCCAAAGAGTTGAAAATAGATCACTTCTACCAAATGTTGCAAATGAAAATTGATCGAACATACAATCAAGATACAGTAGTAATTAGTAATAAAAGGTGACTGGAATGCAAAAGTCAGGAACAAGGAAGGATTGGTTAGGAAACACGGACTTGGTGACAGAAATGAGGCTGGAGACAGAATGATAGAATTCTGCACAATCAATGATTTGTTCATTGCAGATACCTTTCTTAAGAAACACAAACGATAACCATACACATGGAACTCACCTGACAGTCTACATGGGAATCAGACTGATTACATACGTAAAACTTGTTGGAGAAGCTCAATGTCAGCTGTAAAAACTAGGCTAGGTACTGATTGGGGATCATCAGATCATCAGCTGTTCACATGTAAGTTAAAAATCAAATCCACAAGAACCGAAGTTTGACCTTGAATTTGTCCCTCCTGAATTGAAAGACCATCTCAGGAACAGGTTTGAGGCCTTGAATACTAATGAGTGAAGACCAGATGAGCCATGGGAGGATATCAAGAATATCATCCATTAAGAATACAAAAGTTCATTACAAAGAGAGAAGAAGGAAAAAAAAATAGATGTCAGAAGACACTTTCAATATAGCACTAGAGCATCTAGAAGCCAAAGCAAAGGAAAGAAATCAAGATGTTAAGAACTTGAACGGAAGATTTCAAAGAGTAACATGGGAAGACAAAGCAAAAGTATTTTAATGAAACATGCAAAGAGCTAGAGTTGGAAAATCAAAAGGGTCGAACTTGCGCAGCATTTCTTAAGCCGAAGGAACTGAAGAACAAATTCAAGCCTCAAGCTGCAATACTTAAGGATACTGTGGGCAGAATGTTGAATGACCCAAGAAGCATCAAAAGAAGACTAAAGGAGTACACAGAGTCACTATACTAAAAAGAATTGGCTGACACAGAAGAATTTCATCAAATAGCCTATGGTGATGAAGGAGGGAGTTTAAGCTGCTCTGAGGGAACTGGTAAAAAAACAAGGCCCTAGGAATTTACAGCATACTAACTGACATATTCCAGCAAAGAGATGCTGTCCTGGATGTGCTCATTGGGTTGTGCCAAGAAATTTAGAGAACAGTCACCTGGCCAACTTACTGGAAGAGATCCATATTTATTTCCATTCCAAAAACAGGTGACCCAACAGAGTGTGGAAATTATTGAATAATATCATTAATATCATATGCAATCAAGATCCTGCTGAAAGTTACCATAATCAGCTGGAACAGCACATCAACAGAGAACTGTTATGCTGTGCAGATGTGCATGCTGAGTTTAGAAAAGGCACTATAGGGGATAATACATCCAATGGATCTTACCTGAAAACAGAGAGTACCAGAGGAGTATCTATCTGTGTTTTATTGACTATGCAAAGGCACTTGACTGTGTGTGTCACAATAAACTGTGGTTAACTCTGAGAAGAATGGGAATTCCAGAACGATTGCTTATGCGAAACCTGTCTTTGGACCAGGAGGCAGTCGTCAGAACAGAGCAAAGAAACACTGCATGGTTCTCACTCAGAAAAATTGTACACCAGGCATGCATCCTATTTCCGTATCTTTTCTTTTTTTTCTCTTTTAACTTTTATTTATTTTTTTAAATTTATTTTTCATTTCAATGAACATCTACAGAGATTTTGGAATTCCATTCATTCATTGTTGCACCCAGATCGGAAGA